CCAGAAACAGCAATTAGGGAAAGTAAACCTTTCACCTCCTCCTTGGAGTCGCTTCAGCTGTCTGTTGAAGGCTGATATCTCAAACCCCCTCCTTTTCTTTCTCCCAGGGAGAGAGAAAGAATTTGGATTAGTCCAAATTTATTTAATATAAAATGCACAAATCCACACTGTTTGTTCACGACGTTATCTTCACTTCAGAAACAATGACATGCATCCAACACAATACAATACATTTACAGAGGCAGGCAGGGGGTTGAAGGTGTGTGTGTGGGGGGTCTCATAGGCCTCGTGTCTTGCCCCTGGAGCCCCAGGGCGTCAGGAGTGCCTTGGGGTTAGTGTCCACTTTGCCTGGCCTGGGTGGGTTGCAGATGGCGTGGTTCCCCTGGTGTGGGGGCGCGCTCTGCACCCGGGGGTCTGGGGTCTCGGGCCTCCCGGGACTTTTGCTCATGTCTGGGGCGGGTGGTGTGTCCCTGGGCTTAGGGATCCATTGTCTTCTCCCCTCTTCCCCCTGCCTGTTTATTGCCAAGCTCCCCTCCCCGTTCTCTTGCAGGTTTTGTTGCTTTCTGCAATTGGTGTTTTCCTCTGCTATTTCCTGTTGTCTCCACCCCCCACCCCCCTCCCCATTCTCTTGCAGGTGTTGTCCTTTCTCTGTGGTGTCTGTTTGTGCGGTGTTTGTGACCACCATCCCCATTTCTGCCCCCCTGTCCTACCGGTAAAAAATCAATACATATTTAAATAAATACTAAAACACAAAAAGGAGTACTCTCTTGCTAAAGTAAAATCTGTCTGGCACAACATAGTAGCAGCTCCTGATACTCTATACCAGGCTGCTGGGCAGGACAGGTTAAAAAAAGAAAAAAAAAGTGTCTACCCTTTCATGCATAATGCATACACTTCACAGTAAACAAAGAAAGATGAGACAGGTCTCCTAATTATGGCCTTTTATTTAATAAGCACACTTAATAAAAAATGCAATTAAATGTGTATTATTGAAAAATAAATAAATAAATAAATCACAAATGAACACATAAATGAACAAACCAGTGAAGTTCTTTTGGTATGTGGTTACACATATAATTGATTCTTCCCTCTAACTACTACTGCACTAGTACGGACAGCTGAGCAGACCTGAGTTTGTTCAGTGAAGTCAGACAGCTGCATAATAATTGAAAGCAGCTATAATAACAGGGTGATGGTGTGACCACAAACATGACAGATGATATAACCAGTGACACATTGGGATGAAAAACTCCGACACCCTCAGGCTTAATCGAATAATATTTTGCTGTTCACACAAACTGACACGTTCTTTCTGTCACATTAGTATATATAGATGTCTCTCTCTCTCTCTCTCTCACACACATACAAACACACACACACACACACACACACACACACACACACATCCCAACATCAATGGTTAATCTGGTTTTACAGATTATATGTCAAGTATGTCAACAATGACATGATAACACTTATTTCCTTTGTGGTCTTTGGTGTCAAGAGAGTAAAGATACTGCAGCCCAGGTGAAAATACATCTAACAAACCAATAAAATTTTAATTGTAAACCTAATTATCAATAAAAGTGACCAGTCTGCCTGGATCATAATGACGTTTTGACTCTCCTTTTAGTGACACAAGTGTCCTAATTTAGTGTAGATGTGAGTCAGGGGTGGGCTTGCAGAGACAATATGGGGATTGGACCCAAATGCAGACAGAACAAGCAGATAAGGTAGAGTTGAATGATTTTATTGTCCATAAAATCAGTAGGTATACAGGCTGGCAAGCAACAAACAGGCAGCAGGCAGGCAGGCTGATACATTTATAATAATAATTACAATAATAATAATAATCCTTATTTGTAGAGCACTTTTCAAAAACAAGTTACAAAGTGCTTTAACAAGTGTAAAGAATAATACAAAAAAAAAAACAAGATAAGAGCATGAAAAATTAATATAAAATTAGTAAAATACAATAAAATAAAAGAAGGGACTTAAAAGAGTTCACTGACTCAGCCGACCTGATTTCCTCGGGCAGGCTGTTCCAGAGCCTCGGGGCCCTGACTGCAAACGCTCTGTCCCCTTTAGTTTTCAGTCGAGACTCTGGAACAGACAACAGACCTCTGCCCGAGGATCTCAAGGTACGTGCTGGTGTGTATTGGACTAAAAGTTCAGAAATATAACAAGGCGAGAGGACATGAAGAGCTTTAAAAGTGATCAATAGAATTTTAAAGTCAATTCTAAAACATACTGGGAGCCAGTGTAATGAAGCTAAAATAGGAGTAATGTGGTCATATTTCTTTGTTCTGGTTAAAAGCCTGGCAGCTGAGTTCTGGACAGTCTGGAGTCGATCAATAGATTTTTGGGTTAAACAGGTGAAAAGGCTGTTGCAATAATCCAGGCGTGATGAGATGAAGGCATGTAAAATGGTCTCGGTGTCCTTAAAAGTTAACATAGATCGAATTTTTGCTATATTTCTAAGTTGATAAAAACATGATTGAACAAGCTTTGTGGTGTGCTGCTCGAAATTTAAATTACTATCAAACCAAACACCAAGGTTCTTTGCCACAGGCTTAATGTGATTTACTAGGGAACCAGCAGATGGCAGTATTTGATTTGCCATCTGCTGAGACCCGATGACCAGGATTTCTGTTTTGTCTGAGTTCATCTGGAGGAAATTATTTGACATCCATTTTTTAACTTCACAAAGGCAGTTGTTAAGTGAACTCAGCATTCCAGGGTCTGTGGATCTGACAGGCAAGTATATTTGTGTGTCATCAGCATAAATATGAAAAGAAATGCCATGTTTATGGATAATATGTCCAAGGGGAAGGAGATACAAGGAAAACAAAATGGGTCCTAAGACCGACCCCTGAGGCACACCATATTTAACTGGACAGAATGAGGAGACATAGTTGTTTACAGACACACAAAACTTCCTATTTGACAGGTAGGATGAAAACCATTCTAGGGCAGTACCAGAGATCCCTACCCAGTGCCTCAGTCTGTCTAACATGATGTTGTGATCAATGGTGTCAAAAGCAGTGCTAAGGTCCAGGAGTACCAGGACTGAGCACATACCTTCATCAGCAGACATTAAAAGGTCATTGGTGACTTTAAGCAAGGCAGTCTCAGTGCTGTGGTACTTCCTAAAACCAGACCGAAACTTTTCAAATAATTTGTTATTTTCCAGTACAGTGAGCAGCTGTTTGGACACAATTCTTTCTAGAATCTTTGCAATAAAAGGCAGTTTTGAAATTGGTCTAAAATTATGTGGGAGGGAGGGATCTAAACCAGGTTTCTTTAAAAGTGGGTTCACGCAAGCCGTTTTAAAATAATCAGGGACACAACCAGAAGATAGGGAGCTGTTGAAAACAGAGATCAAATGGGGCCCAACAGAATCTATTACTTTCAGTAAAAATTTTGTAGGTATTACATCAAGTGGGCTGGAGGACACTCTCATTTGTGATACTGTTTTTAAAAGCTCAGACAAGTCGATGGGATAAAACTGGTTAAAACTCTCTTGTTGCTGGTGAGGAACCTCTGAGTAAGAGGCAGTGGGGGTAATAGAGGCTCTGATTGACACCACCTTATTGGTAAAATAAGATAAAAACAATTCACAGTCATCATTACTTCCAGCTGAGGCACAAGGAGGGGTTGGGTTTACCAGCTGATCCACAGTCTTAAACAGAAACCTGGGATTGTGTTTATGTGTAGTAATGAGTTCAGAAAAATAGTGTGTTCTCGCATCCTTAACCATGTTATTGTAGTTAATTAATAAATCCTTCAGACTGAGGTAATGGACTTGGAGACTGGATTTTTTCCATCTGGGCTCTGCTTTCCTGCAATCCCTTTTGAGGCTGCGAATGCTGTCATTTATCCAGGGTTGTTTACTAGCTTTAGACGTAGGCCTAACCTTTAGAGGAGCAGTAATATTTAGTGACGACAAGCAGATGTGATTGAAGTGATCGACCAGATTGTTGGTGTTGGAATCAGACAGGTGTTGGCTTTGGCTCTGAAAGAATGTGCAAAACTTTGAAACACTTTGTTCATTAAAGATGCGAGAACACACAGAGCTTGGTGAGGCAGCATGAGTAACAGGCGAATCACAGCTAAAAACAATACATCTGTGGTCAGATATGGTCATGTCCACCAATTCCACAGAGGAAATGCTGACACCCAGGGTAAAAACCAAGTCCAGTGTATGACCACGGTTATGTGTTTGCCCTTTGACATGTTGTTTGAAGTTAAAAGAAGTGGCCATATTTAAAAAGTTAGTTGCATTAACATTGTTGGGGTCATCAACATGAATATTAAAATTGCCACAAAGAACAATTCTGTCATAATTTAAAACCAGAGTAGATAAAAATTCAGGAAGTTCTGATAAAAATCCTCCAGGCGGTTTTGGGGGGCGATAAATTATAACAAATATGATAGGTTGCAGCCCTCCAACTTTAAGAGTGAGAACTTCAAAGGAGTTAAATTCATCACAGCGTACTTGATGACATTTAAAATTTTTCCTATACACGCTCACTAGCCCACCACCACGACCACTGACCCTCGGTTGACTAAAACAATCATATTGAGGCGGACACAGTTCAGCTAGCTGGCTATAGTCATTCATCTGCAACCAGGATTCAGTTAAAAACATAAAATCTAGATTTGCAGACAAGATAAAATCATTTAAGATAAAAGTCTTACTTGAAAGTGATCTCACATTGAAGAGAGCCATTTTAAGTTAGTTTGTTCTGGGTGCTGGAGTTGGTGCAGTTGTCCTAATCCTTAAGAGATTACTATTATTTCTGTGTGGGATGTGCACATTTCGGTTTACTGGTCTATGCGTGATGATGACAGGAATAGAAGTCTTTGGCACAGCGCTGGGAGCAGACGGCTTTACATGCCAGCAGGTGGAGACAGTTGTTTGTGGCAGTGAGCCAGAGATCTGTTCAGTGAGCGGTGGTGCGTCCAGGTGTGCTGCATGAATGATTAGTCATTCATGTAAATCATGTGTGGACCGCACCACATGCTACATTTCCAGGGTAATCCAACAAATCACTTGGAACATGGCAAAAACCAGAAAGCAAACAGGTTGAATCAACAACGAGAAAGAGAAGTGAACAGGTAAATATGCTGAGTGGCTGATGGGGGAATTAGTTGCAGGTGAGGAGTGGATGGTGTAGGCCAGGTAACTACAGGGCAGATTAGGGAAGTGAGAAGAGGTGTGGCTATCAGGTTTGTAAAGGCTTACTGTATGGTGCAACATGATACTATTATATTACTTACCAGACAATGACACAGTGTACAGCTTACAGTTTCCCATCAGACTGAGGAGTGAACTTGATTTCTTTTAGCCCGGCGATTCCTATATCAGTGCCTTCCTAAATTAAGGAGCCAACTACATCTGCAAAAGCCAGAACATCTTGGTTGGATATGACAACATCACACGCTTCCAGATTAACTTGTTATTAATGATTTTGTCTAGACTCGCTGATATAAAACGTCAGTATAATACAATCCAAAACAGTACCAACAAGAATGCTAACACACACACACACACACACACACACACACACACACACACACACACAATGTAAGATCAGCTGTAACACATTTGTAATATCGTGTCTTTATGAAAATGGCATTTAAAGCAGTTTGGCATCTGATGTTTTTATTTTCCTCACACATGATGCATCACTAGCTAGTCTAAATAATTTCGTCACATATTGGAGATGCAGAAAGAAGTTGTTTATTGTAGAATATCAGAGGTGAGGAACACAGGATGTGCAGTAGTTAACTGACAGGAAGCATGATTACTGACACACAAACACTCACTACTGATAGAACAATAATCATTTTGAATAATAGACAGTGAAATAACTAAAATAGTCCACGGATCATTGAGAAAATAAGAAACACTATGTGATTTTACCTCCCCACTAATCAATATTTTTAATACATTGATTCAATTGATGTCAATTAACATAAAAGCATAGCTATTACTGTTCTAACGTTTGTGTGTCATTGGTCTGTGCTGTCAAGTCCAAAGTGGGTGAATTTACTGTTAACACATGACCTCGCTCAGGCTTGTTGTGTGCCGCCTGTCCCCAGCAGACAAAAACGTGGTCGGTGAAGATGGTCAAAAAGACTCAGATGTTTTCACCTGAAGGTAGAAACTAAAGCAAAACAAAAGTGAATGCTAGACTTGACATTTCCCAGGTGGGATATTTAAACAGGAAGAATACTGCAATGGGATGCCCATGCAGAATAGAGTAGGCCAGTGTTGTAACACATTAGTCATAGTCATTAGATACTCTGCTGTGAGTTTGTATTTGAGTTTATGCCTCCTGGAGGTTAAAAATCACTTACTGCAACTTTAACGTTCAGTACAAGGTGTTCACAGATTACACATGTTCAACAAAGGAAAGAAAACAACAGGTAAACACATCAAACACACATCAGAGCCATGAGCTCGAGATTACATTTACATCTGGTTCGTTGTTATGTATCATCCTGCCATAGCGTTCTCCTCGATGGACGTCCAGGTAGGGATGCCATTCTTCAGCAGGAGAGCACATTGACTTCAGACGCTGTGGAAAGTCAGAGATTCTTTCTTTCCCCAATTCTTGGAATTCACGAAAAAAGATTTCAAGCTGTGCAAAATGCAAAGCTTTTAAACATGGAGAAAAAGACAAGAGTGGTGTTGTGAACCACCATATTTCTTCAGCTATCATAACAAACATACAGACCTTCCAGGGGCTTCCCTCTGCTCTCATCAGCTTATACAAAGCGACGACAGGGATCCAGAGGAGGATAAATACAACCATGCACCAGCCCAGTGCCAAGCCCCAGTCTGGGAACAGGACTGCTCCATAGGAGGGTGGCGTAAACGTCTTCAGAGACCAGACCAGGATCACCTGGTCAACAAAGTCAGCAAAAATCAAACATCAAACATGGGCAGAACTGACATTATGTATGTGTTTGAGGCAGTGTAGTTACAATAATACTTGATTAAACTATTGCATGTAGAGAAGAAAAGCCTTCATTTGCCAGACGTGTGATGATTAATACAGGGTGAGTCTTTCGGACTGTATTGTGTGATATTGCACTCACCACAATGATACAGGGGCTGATGAAGAACCAACATGCTCTCCACCACAGCCAGAAAATGAAACTCTTATTCCCAAGCATCATCTCGATGTCTTTAATAAAACGGTTCCCTCCTGGAAACCATGAGAAGAGCAAACATATGTATACAGAGCTGGTATTTGAGGCTCTCTGACACCTTTATCTGCACATATTTAAAATGGTCATATTCACCGTATATGTAGCTGACGCCAATGATCTCCAAGAGAGCCAAAAATAGCAGCACCCAGCTGGCAACAAACTGGTCGATTAGAGTCACCCAGTATATTCCTGCCTGTTTCAGACACACACAAACACACACACATTAGCTGAGTGGGTTAACTAAGCCTATGTCAGACAACAGTAACATAAAGTTACACTAAGGCAGGTTTACCCTTGTGACACATGGCAGGCCCAGGAGGTAGACAATGGAACATGCTGTTACAGTCAATAAAGCACGTTTGGATTTGAAGATTTTAGGGAAGGCATCAAGCAGGCAGGTGACGACCACCTCTAATGACAAGAAGACAGATTCAGGATGTAACGCAACTGCAATGGTCTGAATGTTATAAAAGTATGAATGGCAACTGAAGATCTCACCTATTCCTGCAAACTGAGAGTCCAGACCAACAGTCAGAAGCATGAAGAAGAACAAAATGGAAAACAGAGGGGAAATTGGAAGCTTAGACAGAGCATCTGGGTATGCAATGAATGCCAGGCCAAATCCTGCGCAAAGACAAAGAAACAAAACATCAGAGGCCAGCTGGCGGTCTACCAAATTTGTATTGGTGCCCACATGATGTCTTCGCCTGACCTTCCGTCACCACATCTCCAACAGGCATTTTGTAGACGTAAGCCATGTGACCCAAGATTGAAAATATGGCAAAGCCTGCAAACACACTGGTACCTAGGAGGAGAGGAAAATAGCAAATAGAATAATCTCCCATAATAATATGTATATGATTTAAACCTCTTTTAAATAATGCTGTCTAGTAGCTGTGGTCCTACCGGCATTAGTAAGTGTTATAACAAATGAGTCCTTGAACACATTGTTGTGGAAGTTGTTGTAGGAAGCAAGAGTCATGACTCCACCCCAGCCAATCGAGAGAGAGTAGAAGGTCTGAGTTGCTGCATCTTTCCAGACCTAAAGAGCACACAGTGTTTTAAATCAGTAAAGAGTTTTCAAACTTAGATTACTGTACTGTGTTAACAGGGATAGTTGGGTTTCTACCTGCGCTTCTGTTAGTTTAGTCAAATTGGACTGGGAACCAATGTAGAACTCTATCCCATCTCTAGCTCCCTCTAGAGTCACACCACGGATCAGCAGGATCACAATCACCACATAAGGAAATGTAGCTGTGAAATACACAACCTGGAGAGACATAATGCCAAGAGTTAAAATGTAATTAATTCATTTATATTTTCTTGCGTTGCTGTTGCGAGTTTCGAGCCATGGTTACCTTTCGCTTCGACTATTGCACTATTGCAATGCCCTCCAAGCGGGTCTTGCAGCTTGTGTGGTGACACCCCTACAAATGGTTCAGAATGCAGCAGCGTGTCTGGTTTTTGATCAGCCCAAAAGGACACATGTCACTCCATTACTGTGTGACCTCCACTGGCTACCCATGGCCTCCAGAATCAAATTCAAGTCACTAATGCTTGCATATAGAGTGACTACTGGGTCTGCACCCATCTACCTAAACTCCATAATACAAGTTTATGTCAATATGCTCTTCAGCTGGAGAGCATATTGACTTCAGATGCTGTGGAAAGTCAGAGATTAGCGTCTTTATCCCCCCACTTCTTCGATTTCATGAGAAAAATTACAAGCTTTGGAAAATGAAATGTTTTTAAACATGTAGGAAAAGACAAGAGTGGTGTTGTGAACCACCATATTTCTTCAGCTATCATTACAAACAACTTCCAGGGGCTTCTCTCTGCTATCATCATATATAGAAAACAAAACTCTTTTTAAGGTAAGAGACTAAATTATTTGACCAAGACTATATTTTGTTTAGTATCTATACTATAGCAGGTAAAATTGTGTGACTTATATTAGATTAAAATGTAGTTTCTTATGGTACTTTCAGACCAAAAGCGAAGTGAGCGTTGGGGGCGGTGCGTTTACATACAAAGTCAATTCAAAGATGCATAGAGCCGTGATTTCCTGTTGGGCGGTATGGAGGGGGCGCTGCCACCGATGCAAAGGCCTTTGCGTGAGTTGAAAATCTTCAACTCGAGCGAGAAAGTCACATGATGCTGAATTGTGATAGCCTATCAGCGCTGAGACTGTCTGGACTTCACCGACAGCTTCAGAACGTAATTTGAAGAGGACCAGGCAGATTGGAAGATTGAAACGCTGCTGGTCGACGGAGACCAACTAAGCTGCAGGGAGAAGTCGAGAAATAGCTGTAGTAATCAAGGTTGTTTATTCACATTATCGTGTTGTGTGTGAACACTTGGCAGTAGTCCAACGATAAAACCCCCGTGAGGAAAGTTGTGAGGATTAAATTCGTGTTTGGTCTGAATGCACAGTTAGGCAACATGATAATTTTTTTCCCTTGCTAATTTAAGGGAAGGAACACAATGCATTTGACATCATCTCACAAAGTCTGTGATATTTTTTGGGGATTGAATTTTTGCCATTTGTAGTAAACAAATGTGGGTACTTTGTATAAAAGTTTGAGAACTCTACCTAAAATATTCAGTGAGTTCAAGTTGCTAAAGCAAAAGTGTTTCAACCATACCCGGTCTCCCCTAGATGTGGAAACAATTTACTCCATGTATTGTCTCATGGAAGCCATAAGCACCAGTTCAAAAGCTTTTTCAACTGTGAAACACATAATTCGTCTATGAGTCTTTTTTGGCATCTAAGTAACTGACTGAGAGGTTTACTTGCTTTGTACTGCAGAAAACCCTCCAGACAAAATAACTCGTGGCTGATGCAGTGTGGAAAAGGGCTATCAGGTGGATGTTGACTTACTTTGCCTGAGGACTTGATGCCTCTGATGAGTGCTGCAGCAACAAGCACGGAGCTCAGCAACAGACAAAGGGCCAAGTGCCAAACTACTGGTCCTGTTTCATCTAGACCACTGGATCTCTGCAGAGCCACGCGACTGAGGAGGAGAGAGATCTGACTGTACATCCACAGCAGTATGACAGATGTGTGTATTTATGCTTCCTTGCATGTGTGTGTGATTCTTACTCCCAGTATTGCTCACTCGGGCTCTGCTCTGCACTGGATGAAAAACAAGTGTTGTTTTCCTGAGTCCAGTTGGCCACTAAAACACCACTTACATTGCAATACACTATAAAAGTTAAAAAGACACAACAAAACAAAACAAAACAAAACATTAATTTCCCAGAATGGAAGAATTATTTGATTATTTAGCTTTGGCCTGACGTAGTTTTAAGTTGCTTGAATTTCTCCAGAGCCCCGTGATACAGAAAAAACTGTCTCTCAACTGCAGTTCACATTTTTAGCATACAATTTACTTTTATATATTATGTCATCCTGTCCTGGCAAATTTCATCAAAACCTCCTCACAAGATTTGGAGATGAAAAAATCACCTGCAGGCGTGTTGCTGCAGTTACTGTCAGCCCAACTCAAGCAGCTGGACCACGGCAGAGGAGACTGGAAGGAGGCGAACATGTAGTACAGGCTGTAGGCGATGATGACATTATAGTAAACTGATACTATGAGAGTCACCATAACCATGGCAACACCAACACCTGGAGAGGTAGAGATTATTATTAAGGCATTGCCACTTTTAAAAATGTTCTTATAAGAAGCCTCTTTAAAATATGATAACTTTTTGTTTTTATCTTTCTAGGTACTTTCAAAACTATATTTCCATTTGTAAAAACGAAGGTTTGTCTTTAAATTAGAGTTACTGTATGAAGCATGCACTCTTTCAAATCAAGACAATGTGTTAGTAAACATAACATAACATATATCGGTATCTTATCAGGTTTTCCCATTTCACATATCTCCAGTATGTTTTATATGATTGTATTTTAACTGTTTTGTGAATAAACTGAAACTGAACTGAACAGAGTCTCCTAAAACTTTTATTATTTGGTCCCCCAGAGTAGATTAACTTTATAATATGAACACTGCTAACAAATGGGAAACGTCAAAAAGTGTAATTGCTACCAATGGGTGTCTTTATCACAGCAGTGTGCTGCAGTGATGTTATGTGTTATGTTATTTCTTGCTTTGTACATTTGTGTATGTGCTTCACGTTATCACCTTAACATTGACCCCCACTTGGAAACTTATGGAAACATTTCAAAGGACACGTTTAAACCATTCGACTTTGACTGCTTTTGATTTTGCAAAAAAACATTTCAATCAACATCTGACTCTGGCATTGGGGGAATATTTGTGCCACTAGGTCCTGAATTGGTGAATTTTAATGTCTATTGTAGAAATTTACACAGTTTTGTTATTTTTGTTATTTTTTACACAAGTGTAGCTAGCACCCTCTACAAATGTCAGGGTCGGACATACATCCAGTGTTATTTTGCCTTTTTTGTTGCTCCGATTAAGGTGAGATTCATCATTCAAAAGTGTGAACCTATCCATTAAAGTGTCTTGCTCTAAGGCTATAATTCAGCTTGTGCCTTTGGTTTGAATGTTGCGCATTAAAGGTAAAGCAAAGGAACAGTAACCACTGCAGGGCTGTCTATTTCTGGACATGTAACAAAGTCTTACAGGCAAACAACCAAAAGCTCATTTGAAGCCATAAAAAAAGATGGATTTTGGGCTCCACAGTTAACCATTAATTAACCATTAATTAACAGCCTAAAAAAAGCCCTCATGTTTGTTATCTTCAGATGTTACCTGTCTGATCTTTCACAAAACTTGAATGGTAGTCTTACCCTGCAGGATTGGCACTGCTCTCCATATGTTAATAGGGCCTTGGCTGCAAAACTGACCGAAGGCGCTTTCCAGGAAGAAAAGTGGAATTCCACACAAAACCAACATCAGGAAATAGGGAATGAGAAAGGCACCTGCTCAAAACGACAGATTGGGTGGTACAGGAATAAAACAGATACAGCATTAACAGTGGTACTATCAGGATTATATATAACATCCAACACTAACAGATTAGACACCAAATACTTACCCCCTCCATTTTTGTAGGCCAAATATGGAAATCTCCAGATATTTCCCAGTCCAACAGCATAGCCGATTGTAGAGAGGATATACTCTTCTTTGCTGGCCCAGTTCCCACGCTCAGTATTCTCATCACCATTATGTGGATCCTGCACATTGGAAAGTTTAAAAACTTATTAAAAGGGGTAAAACGTCTCAGATATTGTATGTTGTACCTGGGACAAACAACTGCGGTGAAAACAGTAAATGTTAGTATGATGCAGTACAACTTCATGCAACACTACATCATAATATCTGACTGAATTTACACATAACATAGTGTGCTGAAACCACAGAAACACACTGGCTTCACTGGCACATAGCGGAAAACCTCTGCTATCCAATATTTAAAATACCACAAATACATTTAATTATACAATCATTGTAACCACTGTAAATATTATCTTTGTCTCAACTGTCATACAGTTTTTACTCTTGACTGCTACAATGCATACAGTGCATAAGGTATTGTATTTAATGTAGTTATTTCCACTCTTGTGTCACATTTAGATTGGTTTGTGGTGGTTTCAGCACGTAAACCATCAGTCCAGTCCCTAAGTGGAAAAAAAGAGACTTAGGCTCCTTCATGACTCCAAGCCAATTTCACTTACTTTTAGAGCCATTGAGATCTTATTCCACCTTCCAGCTGTAGCAGCATGTCATAAAAAACACATTTTCTTCATTTATTGCAAAACAATAGGTTTTGTTTTGTGTTCCTCAATAGATTTTTTAAATATAAAATAGCACTCAATTCCTCAGTCTTATTCAATGTAATTACCGTGTGATGTATGTCTAAGTAAAAGTCTGGTCAAATAGGTTTGCAATCCTACCTGGTTGTCTGCAGCAGGATTTCTGAATATTAAATCCTTGAAACTTTTCCAACCGTATTTCTTCATGTCCTTTCACCTGTTAATTGTGTAAATACAAATTTAAAATCACATAGGTAGGCCTGTTTTAAAGCCCCCACCCCCTCTGACAGATAAGGGAGTGATTTTTTCCAACCAATCACCTGCCCATACCTTCCCCTATAACACGTTGTGTAATTTTATTTTAACTGGAAGCATGATGTAATGCACATTAGTGAGGGAAATGTGCCTCTTGATAGCATAAATGACTTACTTAAATCCACTCAGTCTGATAAAGAGCTGGTTAGTGTTGCTTTCTGTATTATGTATTATGTTCTGACCCTAATGTTTCCTATGGTGCTCATTTCTGCTCCTTTGCAGTTCGCATTCTGTAAAATTCTGCATGAACATTGTATATAGTCATATACAACTCAGATGGTGTAAAAAAATTATTTCCTCTGTACTGATATATAGACCAAACTGTACAGCTGTGTTTGCAGCTCGGTAAAACAGTGCTGTGAGGCCTGTGTGTGACTGAGGAGAGTTACTCTATAACAGTAACTGTGTCTTAACAGCTACTCTCTAAAGCCACTGCTGTGAGTGACGATGGATAGATCTCATTTTGGTCAGTGACATCTACACATAATCTCTCTACTGTTACGCACATCTGTGTCACCCATAATCACAACCTGACGATTCCACCACAACCATGTCAGACGACATGGCTGATGACACTGAGAGATAAATGAAAATCCATTAATCAAAAGATTATTACAACTGCACTCATGGAAATAGTCATCATAGATAAAAAGATACACATTTCAAAACTGTCAAGTGTGTTGAATGTATTACTTTCTTCTGTTATAAGTTGTTTAGGTGGATTCTGCCCCTCATTTTCACTAAAGTATAATTTCTGTATTTTCAAACCTAGGCTCTATTTTCACATATTTTGGTATCAAAATTACTAAAAGGTACAAAACTTTTGAAATCCGTACAGTAAACAGCTGCAGTGGCTGCAATGTATTCCTTTTCACCCTTTGTTTTTTACAAGAAACAGACGTCTCGCTCAAGGACAATTCTCGCTCTGAAATCTCACGAGAGGCGAATGGTTGCAAGAAGATGGTGGAAATGAGGGAGAGGGGCAAGGGCCTCACTTTGTGTTGAAAAGTGGTGGGGACATAAGGGCTCAGTTCAGGGGTGTGACAAAACACTTAGCTCACAAGATGTGACGATGCACATTACAAGTTTGCCTGTAATTCATAATCTTATTTTACATCATTATTTATTTTGAGCAGCTTGGCTGTCACATGTGAATTAATTTGGTGGTGAAGTTAGAGTAGCAAAGTGAGTCATACGGTATATTCGCAGGACCTTGCTTGATCTTTATCAGAACTGGTCAGCAGACACATAAAGTCATCCTTGAATACTGACTTCAGTATGTTAAAAGGAGTGAAATGAATGTAGCAAAAACATGTTATGACAGCTTCATCAAAACACTAAGTGATCACTGTAAGTGATCCAATTTTTGTCATATACAGTAAATAACAAAGATTGTCATGTCATTGTGACTGTTCCGGTGAATTTTCATGTTATTCTGGTTCAGACTTTAAAAACATATCCCCAAACGTCATGTTAGTTGGTTAAAAGCCCAATAAATTCTGGACATATTTAGTTTAATCAAGCACATTTTTCATGGCATGATTATGGCTTAATCACTGATTCAAAGCCACAGGTGTACAGAAGATATTTCCAAAAACATCACTCTAATATGGTGCACGAATCCTTTGTGATGTATCATACTGAAAGACAGAGAAACTGAGTTGTAGGTTTATAGAGCAAATGGTATCATTAGTTATTGCTGACATCTTGACAGTTACACTGACGGGGCATGGATATGTCTCGCTTTAGTATCATCATTGTACCTGTGCGTACACTGCTTGATGCTCTTTTGGTTTCTGAGCCATTTTGGTCAGTGACATGTAGCCACAACTTAACCGCTGTACCTATTATATACATGAGCTGTAATTAAGGTATCTGCTGGTGTGGCCACAGATTACAAAACATAGTGATAGAGAAAACTGATGTAAATATAGACTCTGACTGTCCCACCACTGGGCAGCTGACACACACAGGGTTCGGCCCTGATGCAACAGCTCATCACCTTTCACATCGTCAGAGTTAGACAAACACACATGTGTTCTTATGAGCTGTATGAAAATATCAGCCTTATTGTTTCAGCTCAGCTGTGTGTCTGCGTTTCCACATTAAAAGACACGGCCGTTCCTCCTCACTTTAAACACTTCAAAAATGAGATTAATTTATTTAACACACTCAAAAGTGTTCCCAGAATTGTTCCAAATTAACTTCATAAAGCAATGTAACAAAAAATCCATTCATGCCATAAAATGTGCTCAAATAGTGGTTGAAAGACTGAATCTCAACATTCAGGCTACTGAAAACTCACCTTTTGCGCCCACATCGCAAAAGGTGGGGCAGAACGTGACCAGTCTATGTGATAGACTTTACTAACCTAAAATAAATATCCTTCGTTCATATTAAAATGTAGTATTTCAATATCCCTACCAAACTGCTCATAATATTTAGTCTTTAAGAAATATGGGCTATAAGAAAAATTAAACCCATTTATTTTAACGGCTGTAAAATGCTGTGTGAAAGGGACTGGTGAGCAAATAAAAAATATTAAAACACATTTCAAAGCAGTTAGAAGTCTACTGTAAAAACCTGTAGGTCTACAATAACCTAAGGCTTTTAATCAGTGTCAGTGTCTATAGGTTGATATTGCTATAGTTTCTCCACATCACCACAGAAAACATAAAGCAGCCTAAACAGTCTGTGGCATTTCCTACAGATGGTGATGTCATTTTCCAAGATAGCTGATTGGTGAGTAGGCGGCATTTTCATAGAGAGATCTCTTATCTGGAACAGAACCAGCTCCGGAGCAGGTTAGCTGTTCAGTATGTTACCATGGAGATCTACCCCGGTAAGAAGTGAACCACCGTCGTGGTACTGAAAACCCAGGGTTAACCACGAAGTTACCTCAATAAGCTCAAATCCTGCTTCGTGGTAAAGGCCCTAGAACAGTAACAGTCTGAAGAATGGATGGTGATCAGGAGCCAGATTATTTCACACAGCTGGTATCTATTGGGTTTTGTAGCCCCCACATTTTCAAACTTTTCTTTTCTGTCCTCTGTGATGCCTATAGGTTAGGACTACGCCTAAAGCTAGTAAGCAACCCTGAATAAATGACAGCATTCGCAGCCTCAAAAGGGAATGCAGGAAAGCAGAGCGCAGATGGAAAAAAATCCAGTCTCCAAGTCCATTACCTCAGTCTGAAGGATTTATTAATTAACTACAATAACATGGTTAAGGATGCGAGAACACACTATTTTTCTGAACTCATTACTACACATAAACACAATCCCAGGTTTCTGTTTAAGACTGTGGATCAGCTGGTAAACCCAACCCCTCCTTGTGCCTCAGCTGGAAGTAATGATGACTGTGAATTGTTTTTATCTTATTTTACCAATAAGGTGGTCAATCAGAGCCTCTATTACCCCCACTGCCTCTTACTCAGATGTTCCTCACCAGCAACAAGAGAGTTTTAACCAGTTTTATCCCATCGACTTGTCTGAGCTTTTAAAAACAGTATCACAAATGAGAGTGTCCTCCAGCCCACTTGATGTAATACCTACAAAATTTTTACTGAAAGTAATAGATTCTGTTGGGCCCTATTTGATCTCTGTTTTCAACAGCTCCCTATCTACTGGTTGTGTCCCTGATTATTTTAAAACGGCTTGCGTGAACCCACTTTTAAAGAAACCTGGTTTAGATCCCTCCCTCCCACATAATTTTAGACCAATTTCAAAACTGCCTTTTATTGCAAAGATTCTAGAAAGAATTGTGTCCAAACAATTACTCACTGTACTGGAAGAAAATGAATTATTTGAAAAGTTTCGGTCTGGTTTTAGGAAGTACCACAGCACTGAGACTGCCTTGCTTAAAGTCACCAATGACCTTTTAATGTCTGCTGATGAAGGTATGTGCTCAGTCCTTGTACTCCTGGACCATAGCGCTGCTTTTGACACCATTGATCACAACATCATGTTAGACAGACTGAGGCACTGGGTGGGGATCTCTGGTCCTGCCCTAGAATGGTTTTCATCCTTCCTGTCAAATAGGAAGTTTTGTGTGTCTGTAAACAACTATGTCTCCTCATTCTGTCCAGTTAAATATGGTGTGCCTCAGGGGTCGGTCTTAGGACCCATTTTGTTTTCCTTGTATCTGCTTCCCCTTGGACATATTATCCATAAACATGGCATTTCTTTTCATATTTATGCTGATGACACACAAATATACTTGCCCGTCAGATCCACAGACCCTGGAATGCTGAGTTCACTTAACAACTGCCTTTGTGAAGTTAAAAAATGGATGTCAAATAATTTCCTCCAGCTGAACTCAGACAAAACAGAAATCCTGGTCATCGGATCTCAGCAGATGGCAAATCAAATACTGCCATCTGCTGGTTTCCTAGTAAATCACATTAAGCCTGTGGCAAAGAACCTTGGTGTTTGGTTTGACAGTAATTTAAATTTCGAGCAGCACACCACAAAGCTTGTTCAATCATGTTTTTATCAACTTAGAAATATAGCAAAAATTCGATCTATGTTAACTTTTAAGGACACCGAGACCATTTTACACGCCTTCATCTCATCACGGCTGGATTATTGCAACAGCCTTTTCACCTGTTTAACCCAAAAATCTATTGATCGACTCCAGACTGTCCAGAACTCAGCTGCCAGGCTTTTAACCAGAACAAAGAAATATGACCACATTACTCCTATTTTAGCTTCATTACACTGGCTCCCAGTATGTTTTAGAATTTACTTTAAAATTCTATTGATCACTTTTAAAGCTCTTCATGGCCTCTCGCCTTGTTATATTTCTGAACTTTTAGTCCCATACACACCAGCACGTACCTTGAGATCCTCGGGCAGAGGTCTGTTGTCTGTTCCAGAGTCTCGACTGAAAACTAAAGGGGACAGAGCGTTTG